CTGTCACAAATTCACAGCTGGTGGCGGATCAAGGCATCGCAGCCACAGGTTGGACTACAGAAGCAGGTCAGGACCATGATTGGAACATGAACGTTATTTAGATAGAAGAGCTTACAAGATTGCTCCAGGGCTTTCCAAAGAAGGCCTTCGGGGCATGCCTCATGAGTATGCAGCCCACTGTAGTGTCCCCAGTACAGGGACCTCCATCGAGGACACACCCAGTCAAGCCCCTAAGAGAGACTGCCTCTCCCTGGGCTGGCTGGGGAAGGGTAGAGGGAACCGGTTAATCTACTTTCCAAGGCACTCCACCTGAGGGCAAGATTATATGCACCCTTGATGAATGATCAGAAAGCCTTCGGGAGGCCCAATCTATGTGGAGACTTGGCAATGACCGACCTGATGAGACATCAAGAACATCCAACATGAAGGCAGCAAAGGGTCATTAAAAACACAGGAAGTGGAGACAAGCTCAAAGTGGATGTCCGAAGAGACCGAAACTTGCTCTTAATCCTAGAGGAGCTAAGGCATTTTAAATGGAAGAAACGATGGGGGTCAAAGAACTGAATAGAAAATGTCAAAGGGCAGTTCGAGAAGACAGTGAAATATTATCAAGAAATGTGCAAAGACGTAGCTAGAGACAAACCTTTTAAAAAGGAGCACGCCCAGCATATCTGAAACTGAAAGAATCAAGAAAACCTTAAAGCCTCAAGTTGCAATCTTGAAAAGTTCCATGGGCAAAATATTGTATGATGCAGGAAGCATCGCGAGAAGGTGGAAAGACTCTACAGTCACTGTACCAAAAAGAGCGAGTCAACATTCCACCATTACTGGAGGAAGACATTTCTGAGCAAGAACCAATGGTGCTGAAGGAAGAAGTTCACGCAGCACTGAAAGCATTAGCCAAAAGCAAGGCTCCAGGAATTGTTGAATTAGCAATTGAAATATTTCAGCAAGCTCCTGAAGCACTGGAAGCACTTACTCGTTTATGCCAGGAAATTTGGAAGCCAGCTGCATAGCCAACTGACTGAAAGAGATTCATATTTGTACCCATTCCAAGAAAGAGTGACCGAAGAGAAGGGTCTGATTATAGAATAATATCAGTGATATCCAATGCAAGTAAATGTTTGCTGAAGATAATGCAACAAGAGTTGTAGCATTACAATGACAGGGAGCTACCAGAGCTTCAGGCTGGGTACAGAGGAGGGTGTGGAACACAGGACATCATTGTCGATGTCAGATTAACCTTGGCTGAAAGGATAGAATATCAGAAAGATGATTACTTATGTTTTATGGACTGTGCCAAGGCATTCAACTGTGTGGACCATAACAAATTATGGATAGCCTTGAAAAGAATGGGAATTCCGGAACATTTCATTGTGCTCCTGTGGAACTCGTACATGGATCAAGAGGCAGTTGTACAAAAAGAGCAAGGGAATACTGTGTGGTTTGAAACCAGAAAAGTTGTGGGTCAGGATTGTATCCTCTTACTATTCTTGTTCAATCTTCTTCTGAGCACATAATCCGAGAATCTGGATTGTATGAGGAAGAATGGCATTGGATTGGAGGAAGACTTATTAATAACCTGCGAGATGCAGATAATACAACCTTCCTGGCTGAACTTGAGGAGGACTTGCTGATGAAGATCAAGGATTGCAGCCTTCAGTATGGAGCACAACTCAATGTAAAGAAAACAAAAATCCTCACGACTGGACCAATAAGACATACAATGATAAGTGGAGAAAAGGTTGAAGTTGTCTTGCTTGGATCCAATCAGTCCTCATGGATGCCATGGGCAAGAGATAAAATGGTGTTGCAGTGGGTAAATCTGCTGCCCAACACCTCTATAAAAGCAAGCAGCTTATTTTGAGGGCTAAGGCATGCCTGACCCAAACCATGGTATTTCTTTTTTAACAGTTTTATTTGTACTTTATCCACATGTCATACAATTCAATAATTCAGTTATATCAAGAAGAGTTGTACAATTGTTAACATAGTCAATTCTAAACATTTTCTTCTTT